TGGCCCAGAGCAGCAGGGCATTTTGGGGCGGAGCAGATGTACCGTAAAGGCAGGGAGATGCGACAGCACAGTCCAGGAGGGACCCACAGAAATCTGGGCTCACTAGGGCACTCCAGAGAGAAGCAGTAAGGAGGACCATGTACCCAGCAGAGGAGCTGGAAGTTTCTGGGGATGAGGCGTTAAAGGGGAGAGAATCCCATCATGGCTGCTTGATGGCCCCGTGCTGAGCACATCCAGCCACTGCCCATCAAGACAAGGCTCTCAGGGTCTCTTCTTGCTTTGGCTCCCACTGCTGCCCCCTCTCTTACCCCAGAGTGCCGAGATGTGGCCCTGTTCACATGGGACCTGAGGACTCGGACTCAGAAACTTGTATTCTCACCAAGTAGGGCTTTCAGGTGTAGCAAATAGAAATCCAGGGCGCCCAGAGAAATTTGAATTTCAGACAAAACAACCAATTCGATTTTGTAGAAGTACTTGGCCCCCGGAGGCCCCCACCACCCTGAAGGCAACACGAAGGGGCGGCTCAGCCCCTGAGAATCAGTGAGAGAGGGAGCTGGGGACAGCCAGCAGCCCTTCTTTCCCGTCTGACCGGTGCTTGCCATCCTGTGCCCATTTCTGGAGTGATGCCACCGTGCCCTAGGCCCGGAAGCCCTAGCCTTCCATCCCTCCTGCTCCTCCCACCCCTCTCCCTTCCCAACATCCTGTCCCCCATGCCTGCCCCTCCCTGTCCCTTTCCGACAGCCCGCAGCCCATCACCTGTCTGCCCTGCCCCTGCCCTTCCAATCCCATAAAATGACCTAATTAAAACCCAGCCTTGCACCATAAGTTTATGATGATGTGTTTTAATCCTACCAAGTACTGTTTGTTTAAAAAATAAAAATATTCAGGGCACCTGGGTGGCTTAGTCAGGTAAGTGTCTGACTCCATTTCAGCTCAGGTCATGATCACATGATTTGTGAGTTCGAGCCCTGGGTCAGGCTGTGCGCTGAAAGGGCGGAGCATGATTGTGGTCCCCTCTCTCTCTCCTTCTCTCTCTGTTCCTCTCCCACTTGTGCTCTCTCTCAAAATAAATAAACTTAAAAAATAAATAAAATACTCAATATGAACCCACGAGAGATTGAGAACTTCCCTTATGCCCCAGGAGGAAAATGGAGAGCTAGGGGTGAGATAGAAAGAAGACCTGATGGGGTGCCTGGGTGTCTCAGTTGATTGAGCGTCTGACTTCAACTCAGGTTATGATCTCATGGTTTCGTGAATTCAATCCCTGCGTCTGGCTCTGTGCTGACAGCTTGGAGCTTGGAGCCTGCTTCACATTCTGTGTCTCCCTCTCTCTCTGCCCCTCCCCTGCTCACACTCTGTCTTTCTCTGTCTCTCAAAAATAAGTAAACATTAAAAAAAAAGAGGGGCACCTTGGTGGCTCAGTAGGTTAAGCGCTGGATTTTAGCTCAGGTCATGATCTCATGGTTCATGGGTTCAGGCCCTGTGTTGGGCTCTGTGCTGACAGCTCGAAGCCTGGAGCCTGCTTCAGATTCTGTGTCTCCCTCTCTCTCTGACCCTTCCCTGCTCACACTCTGTCTCTGTCTCTCTCTCCCAAAAATAAATATTAAAAAAATTTTAAGGTTTTTTTTTAAATGTTTATTCATTTTTGAGAGAGAGAGACAGAGTGCGAGCAACGGAGAGAGAGAGGGAGACACAGAATCCAAAGCAGCTCCAGGCTCTGCACTGTCAGCACAGAGCCCAACACGGGGCTCGAGCCCATGAACTGTGAGATCATGACCTGAGCCGAAGTCGAACACTTAACCGACAGAGCCAGCCAGGAGCCCCTAAAAAAAGAAAGAAGAGCTGTTACTGCACACTTTTTGGAATCAGAATTATGTCAGCATATATCCTATTCAAAAAATAAGGTTTTTTTCAAATTACCATCTTAGCTGTTAATTACCTTTGGCCACCGGCGAGGGCTGAGGATGCTTAAGAGAGCAAACGGGGGTGAAGGAAGAAGTGACTGATGGGAGACTTGGGGTCCCTGCTACTTAGCAGAGGGAAGGTGTCAAGAGGACTTTCACTGGCGCCTGCCCCGTGCACACTGGCCACTTGTAGAACCTGAGAGCTGCTGAGAGATTGGGGCCCCTAAGTCTTCTGAAGGGACTGCGTGGTGACATCCAGAAGCAGCACCAGCCTTGGGGAATCCGGTTGGTGGAACATGTGACTCTTGATCTTGGGGTCATGAGTTTGAGTCCCACTTGGGTGTAGAGATTATTAGAAAAAAAAAAAGAAGAAAAGGAGAAGAGGGAGAAGGAGAGGAATAAGGAGAAGGAGAAGAAGAGGAGGGGAAGGAGAGACCACATCAAGCCTTGAGGCTTCTGGAATTCTCCCTGGGTCTGCATGTGGAATCCTCTTGGAGGAGACCTCTGCCTAACCCTTCCCAGCAGGACAGTGCATTTCCCAGCTGCCTCCGCGGCATTGGGCCATCTCCCCTGCCTTCTGGGTGACGGGCGTACATGCGTAGTCTGTGTGTGGTCTTCTCTTCCAGCCCAAAGGCACCCCCACCTTTCTTCTATGGAAGAAACATCCAGAAGGGAGTGAGAATTCCAGTGTTATAGAAATAGCCCTGAATCTGTTCTTATGCATATAAACAAGCCAACTATATACAGACTTTGGAAGTGTGCACTGATTCCCATGTAGCTCGCGCCCCACCCCCCCACCTCCTGGGGTCTGGCTACGTGGCTGAGAAGCTGACTGAGAACATGACTGGGTCCCCGAGGGCCCAGTTCTTACCATGCTCAGCCGGGCCCCGGGGGCCAGGTCGCCTGTGACATCACTAGTCAGAGTGCAGTGAGTGCTGGTGTGCGTGGAGGTGCGGAGCATGTGCCAGACAGAAAAGGCAACTTTGTCCCCAAGCACAGTACAGGTGCCATTGGACCTTGAAGAAGTGCACAGAAGCAGCAACTAAAAAACAGTTGCTTCTTGGGGTGGTTCAGTTGGTTAAGCGTCTGACTTCGGCTCATGTCATGATCTCGCAGTTCGTGAGTTCAAGCCCTGCGTCGGGCTCTGTGCTGACAGCTCAGACGCTGGATCCTGCTTCAGGTTCTGTGTCTCCCTCTCTCTCCATCCCTCTCATGCTTGTTCTCTCTCTTTAAAATAAATAAACATTTAAAAAAATTTTTAAAAAACCAAACAGTTGCTTTTTCCATGGGGCGCCTGGGTGGCTCAGCCAGTTGAGCGTCCAACCCTTGATTTCTGCTCAGGTCATGATCACAGGGTCATGGGACTGAGCCCTGCATTTGGCTCGGCTCTGAGCGTGGAGCCAGCTTGAGATTCTCTCTCTCTCCCTCTGCCCCTCTCACCCCCTCTCTCTAAAATATAACAAAAACAGAAACAGCTGCCTGTTCCAGCTACATGGGACAGAGCCTTGGAGATCAAAACACATACTTGGAGGCCCTGGACAGAGGCAGGCTGGCCCTGAGGACACCCTGGCAGACCCCAGCTGCAGCCCTGAGTGCCTGCTGCCGGAAGCTTCCGCCTGGAACCCGAGCCACATGGCCACGATGGGTGCTCGCTCTGGAGACCAGCAGGCCTTCATGACACATGACCTGCCCGCCCTCTGCAGGCTCGCCCCTCTGCAGGCTCGCCCGGCCTCGTCCCTCCGCGAGCTTACAAAAACAGACAGCAAATCTCATTGCTAGCAGGTTCACTCATCTGAGAGCAGAGGGTCTCATCCTGCTTTCGTGGACTCCTGGCAAGGCTGTGCTGGATCCCTCTCTCTGTCTCCAGAGGGGCCCCCTGTCTGACGGGGTTGACATGTCTGCCTGTTGTCAAAGCGCAGTAGTGACCTCCCTAACGGTGCCCCCCAGTGTCCTCTAGCTAGACCTTCCGGCTATATTTCAGTGCCGTTTCATTCCCAGGGAGAAGGTCGCTGCGAAGAAAAGAGTGTGAAGTCTTCTCCTGGCTTTGCGTCTGCTGCCTGGGGCCCAGAGCCTGGGTTCCCACCCCTTGCAGTTAGTGACTCATTTCTGGAGTCTTGCAGCTTCTCTTGGGTGGATTCTGGGTTCAGATCCTACCTCTGCCACCTTCCTAGCCAAGTGGCCTGGGGTCAGTCACCTAGGGTGGTCACGTCACGTCTCTCTGCCTCAGTTTCTGGCTCTGTCAACTGTGATTGTTAACGCTGCTGACCAGCTAGGCTTGGGAGATGAAACAAATCCTATTTGTAACGTGCAGAACGCTGGGCGCTCAGGGAAGTGTGTTCCGCTGTCTTCAGGAGCTCCCGGTGATGGGCGCTGGGAAACTCTTCATGTCCTTCTGGAAACAGGACTAAAATTAACAAGGTCTTCTGGCCTGGATGAAGTCTGGGGGGAGGCTGTTATCTGCATTTTCATTTGCATATATCTGCATAAGAAATACCTTACTGCCTCTTCTGCATTCAGAATGATTGCCCTTCTTGGAGTCCCAGAGCCACTGCTTCCCAAGTGCAGCTTCAAAGAAGAATCCCATGAGGGCGAGGGTGCATTCCAGAGGAGTCACCCCTGGGGAGAGCTTCACACTCAGCCCCCACCCGGGCTCCTCACCCTGGGTGCCACCCTCATGGGCAGATCACTCCTGCATCCCACCCCTCGCTGCTTTGGGCTCTGAGTGCAAAGCAGATGTTTCCAAGATAAACATGAACAAAATAATTGCAGCTGGGTGCCCGGAGCTTCCCCTGCAGGGCACCCAGTCTTCTGAGAGCCCAGGCTTGCAGGCTGGCTCAGGTGGGCAGTGACAGAGTGGCAGTCGTGGGGGCTGGCCTCCCACCTCCAAACACTTAGTATCACCACCCCAAGCAAGTGGATGCAGTTATTTTGATTTGCTGCCACCCTGTGGTCACGGAACCTGAGAGTAGATGGAGTCTCATTAGCCCCGGGGTGTGAGGCAGGAAGGCTCCAGAACACGGTGGGTATTCTTGAGGTCCTGCTTTGCCTGACTGTGCCTGACACATCCCCGGTGTCCTCCCTGGCTCCTTCCTCTAGGTCTGCTCATCCTTCACCGCAGAGTACGCCAACTATGGACACGTCAAGATACACCATGGTTACACCAACGTGTTGGGCCTGGGGGACTCGAGCACGTGGAGGCTGCCTTTCCTCAACCGCTACGTGTACATGTTCCTTGCTCCTCTCTTGATCCCTGTCCTAACCCCATTGGTGGCGGTTGGTGAGTATGCCAGGGCTGTGCCCTGCCAAGACCTGGTCCCCCACTTCCCTTACTTCCCCTCCTGGCTTCCTGGAGGCTGCTCGCAGAGGAAGCTGGGAGCCCCAAGTTAAGGCCAGAAACTTTTGGAGACAGCCAGGCCAGGGTGGAAGGAGCCTTGGCCCCGGGGCCAAGTCTGGCCGTGCCACTTACTGGCTGATGACCAGAGGCAGGTAACTTAACCACTCTGAGCTTCAGGTTCTGACTTGGTCCTCAGGGGCGGTGTGAAAGCATCGTGAGGTCATAGATGTAAAAATACTTTGCAGAGGCCTTGCGCTATATTGCAGGCTGTGGGTTGTAATATCATGGGAGCAATATCGTACGGTGGAAGGAGGGGCTGGAGGGCGGCCAGACCCGCGTCCCAGCCGTGGATGGGCTCTTACCTCTTACCAGCAGAGTGGTCTTGGTCAGGCTGCTTACTGCTCCATTTCCTTACCCATAAAACATGCGAACCTACTTTTCAGGGCTGTGTGGATGAACTGATGGCCCTAGTTAGCGCCACTGGGCCAGCAGGGGGCCGGCTTTCCCTCCCCCTCCACACACCCACGCTCTATTTCTTGCTCCCTCTGGCAGAGCGGCTGAGAAAAGTGGAGCTCAGGTCGGCAGTGCGGACGCTGGGCCTGATTTCTCTGGGCCTCTACGCTCACTACTGGCTGCTTCTGAACGTGTCTGGCTTCAGGAGCCCTGGCTCGGCCCTTCTCTGCATGCTCATCACCAGATCCCTGCTGGCCCACCCTTACCTCCACATCAACGTCTTCCAGGTGAGGCCTCCCCGACCCCGACCACAAGCCAGACCCAGTGTTCTGGGGAGACAGAGGCCACCTGGGGAGAGAGACGCATCCCCCCAACCTCTCTCTCTGGGTCGTCATAGAGAATTTGGGTTTCAGGTAAAGAGTTTCCTCTATTCCACACCAGCTGTGATTCATATGTGGATCGTGGATGGAAGATTTGAGAAACTTAAAACAATTTTTTTAACGTTTATTCAATTTTGAGAGACAGTGAGTGGGAGAGGAACAGAGAGAGAGGGAGACACAGAATCCAAAGCAGGCTCCAGGCTCTGAGCTGTCAGCACAGAGCCCAATGTGGGGCTTGAACTCACAGACTGTGAGATCATGACCTGAGCCGAAGTCAGATGCTCAACCGACTGAGCCACCCAGGTGCCCCAAGATTTGAGGAACTTCCATGCATAAGGCACCCCACGGTGGGGGGGTAGTCAGGGGAGGCCAGGGGCTCAGTGCTCAGTTCTGGGGCCGGTTCCATAGGGATGCGTCCCTGTTCCCTGGATGCAAAGACTAGATGTGTGGTGGTCAGAACATTCTTCGCCATTCCGGCACTTGCCTCACTGCCAGCGATGACTTCATCTCCTAGGGCAGCTGTGGGTCTTCCCCGCCTGGCTTGCTGGAGCGGAGGGGTCCGTTCACTGGCAAATCCTTAAGACCTAGGACCCAGCCTGGCAGAGGAGGCATTTTCCCATACTTGTTGAATGAAACAACATGAGGTGCACAAACTTGATCTTGAACCCTGAGCAGGATTTTGATGGGGGAAAAGAGAGCAGAGAATCTCTGTCTCATCTCCAGGATGAGACACAGAGTGGCCTGAGAGCGAGAAGTGGGAGGTCATAGGCGTGTCTGTACCACAGGTTTCAAGGGGTACCCAGGCCAAGCCCCTCGTACAGATGGAGAGAGAGGCCCAGAGATGGGTGAGACTGAGCTCCAAGCACAGACAGGAGAGTCTCGCCAAGGTAGGGGTGAGGGAGGCAGAAAGACCCTCTGGGTGGGTCCCCGAGTGGTAGGTGAGGGTGTCTGGGGCAGGGTGGGGAGGCTCAGGGCTGCCCGGCCCAGCCCGAGGGTGTGACCCACGTGTCTGTCACAGCACATTGGGCTGCCCATGTTCTCCCGGGACAAGAAGCCCCGAAGGATTCACATGATGAGCCTGGGGGTGCTGAACCTGCCCCGACTGCCTGTACTGGACTGGGCGTTCGGCCACTCCATCGTCAGCTGTCACGTGGAGCACCACCTCTTCCCCCGGCTCTCCGACAACATGTGCCTGAAGGTACGTGAGGACCAGGCTGGCCTGGTCAGAGGTTCCTGGGAAGGACTGCCCTGTGTATGAGCAGCAGTGTGCGTTTCTGATCAGAGGCATGTGGGTTTCTTACCAGCACTGTGACTCTGGGCAAGTTAACTGAATGTCTCGGAGCCACAGCTTCCTCCTCTGGAGAATGGGAGTAAGCAGTGCTTGCTAGCAGCAGGCTTTACGGTTGAAATGAAATGGGTCTGAAATGCTATGCACACAGTATGTGCTTGGTAAAAGGGAGTTCTAGCTTTTTTTTTTTATGTTTATTTTTGAAAGAGAGAGAGAGAGAGAATGTGTGTGTGCAGGAAGGAGGGGCAGAGAGAGAGGAAGAAAGAGAATCCCATGCAGGCTCCATGCTGTCAGTGCAGAGCCTGACGTGGTTCTCGGACCCATGAATCGTGAGATCATGATCTGAGCCAAGATCAAGAGTCGGACGCTTAACTGACTGAGCCACCCAGGCGCCCCAGGAAGCTCTAGCTTTTATCCCCTATGCCAAGGAGGACTGTCATGCGGTTGGGAACCCTGGGGGCGGGGGTTGGGGAGAAACCCTCACCCCTTTCCCTTGCCTGCAGGGAGGGGAGAGGCAGGAATCTCTCATGTCCTCCAAAGCCTCCTGGAGCAAGGGACTGTGAGGAAGGGGACCCCTGTGGGGAGGGACCTGCCCACAGTCCTGACTCAACCGCCCCACCTCCTGCCCATCTTCTGGCAGGTGAAGCCTGTGGTGTCCCAGTTCCTCCAGGAGAAGCAGCTGCCTTACAACGAGGACTCCTACCTGGCTCGCTTCTGGCTGTTCCTCCGTCGCTACGAGGAGTTCCTGGTGCAGACCCCTCCCATCACAGAGCTGGTGGGATTGCAGTGAGGGGTGGGTGGGCCGCACCCTGCGCCCCGCCTCCCCAGCCCCCCAGCCCCATCCTAGCTCTCTTGCTTCTGCTGGCCTTCGCTCAGTCCAGGGGGCCGTGGACTCTTCCCCAGGGCGGTCGCTTGGCTGTTGGTGGTGGAGACCTCAGGCTGGGATGTCTGGGGAAATCTGCTTGCTTTTCTGGGCTTTGAGGGATAACTGGGCAAAAGGAATAACAGTGGCTGGGCATTCTGGTCAGTCTGGATCTCAGCCAACATAATCTTGGGGGTGGAGGGGGATGGAGGGGTGCTAAACAGCTGGATTCCTCTGCTGTGTCTGAGCCTTGATAAGGTGATGGGGAATGGGGACAGGAGAGGCCCTCAGCAAGGGGTAGGCAAGGAGAGCGAAGGGTCTGGCCCCCAGTTAGGGCCTGCCGGGTACCAGGAGACCCCATGCTCTGCTGGCCACTTCCTGTGCTCTTTGAGGCTGTGTCCCCTAAGGAGCCCTCTCCCCAGGGACCATAGGGAGAGGTTACTTTTTATTAAAGAATTTAAAAAATATTTTTCTTTATTTTTGGGAGAGACAGAGAAGTCAGAGCACGAGCAAGGGAGGGGCAGAGAGAGAGACACACACACAGAATCCAAAGCCAGCTCCAGGCTCTAAGCTGTCAGCACGGAGCCTCTCAGAGCCTGACACAGGGCTCGAACTTGTGAACTGCAAGATCATGACCTGAGCTGAAGTCAGATGCTTAATGGACTGAGCCACCCCGGCGCCCCAGGAGAGGTTCCTTTTGGCAGACTTTCCTAGTTACTCTGCCAGAGAAGCCTGTGCGGGACACTGGCTCAGCAACAACCAAGACCTGCAACATCAGTGAAATTAAAGTGCATGTGTTTTGTGGGGAGAGCACTCCAGGGGAAATAAGGGCATAAAATAGAGTGTAAATGGCTTTGAGCTTGACCTTGACTAGCTCTAGATAAAGTCTACCTTGTCCCATCATGTCTAGCGGGGGTGGACCCGGAAGAACTCTCAATTGCAAAGAGAAAAATTACTGGGGGTGGGTAGCCGAGGCCGGAGGGGGTGATGGGCACAGGGTCTGGAGGACAGACAGCCTCAGAGGGGAAAGGAAGGAGAACAGGGCGCAGATACAAGGGCTTGGAGTCAAGAGCTGGGCTTGGGTGTGAACAGGTGCAGGGAGGAAGGCAGGGATACAGGGAATCACTGATGCCAGCTGGAGGAGAAGATGCTGCTGAGAGTCAGCCACACATGGGCAGCCTTTAGAGAGGACTGGGAACCACCCTAACTAGTGGATGGCACCTAACTAGGTGCAAAGAAGGGCCCAGCTGGACGCTGCGGGAGGAACAGAGAGATAGGCCAGGCCTCTGACAGGAGACCAGAGCAGTTAGTCTGAAGCAGGGTTTCTTAGGTCGGCGCTATTGACATTATGGCCGGATCATTCTTTGTCACTGGGGCTTGTCCTGGGCATCCTGGGATGTTTAACAGCATCCCTAGCTTCTGCCCACTGGGATGCCAGGAACCCAAGTTGTAACAATCAAAAAATGTCTGCGGGCATTGCCAACTAACTGTTCCCTAGGGGGCAAAATTGTCTCGGGTTGAGAACATGCAAGTCATGTTCGGAGCTCACAACTGCCTTTTCAGTGAAGCCTTTGGACAAGTGAAGGGCCTGCTGGCCCTGTTGGTGGGGAGGCTAAATGGGATGGGCGGAGGGGCTAGATGGCAGGCGAAGGCATCGTCTAAGGCTGGTCCTGTCTGAGAACCCACCTCCGGTGTGTCTCTGCCACCCCGCCAGATCCATTCCCTACTCTTCTCCACCCTGCTTTCCTCTACCAAAGACCACAGCTGCTGTCCGGTGCCCTTTCGTACAGCTATGGCTCTCACCACTTCTGAAACGCCTCCCTCCTTTTGATTCTTCAGGGCCTGGGGTGGTAGTGGCTTCCAGCCGTCGCTAGTCCAGGGGTGCTCCACCATTCCCTCGATCCTGGCCACACCTCTGTACGAAGTTCCTTCATTAAACTCTTTCCAATCAGCCCTTTGGAGCGTGCCATCCGTTTCCTGCCGGGAGGCTGACTGATAGAGCAGAGTTTTGGATCCGAGCAGCCCTCCTAGAACAAGAAAGGCTTGGCGGTCTCCCCAGCCTCTTTCTTTGCTATATGTTATTGCTGCTCTTTTGAAATGCATTAACAGCTCAGAAATTGCCTTCAGGTCTGGGAATGTGATTAATCAAACTGCTAATTCTCCACATGAAAACATGCAATGTCAGAAAAGGTCCCATTGCATTAGTCCTGGCTAATGATCAAAACCATCCTAATCTATAACCAATGACTCATTGTTAATGATCTGGGCCTGAGTGGGGAACGGGCAGCAGCTGAAGGCTCCGGTACCAGATGTGGCTGGACCACAGGCGCCTGGGAACAAGTCACTCGATTTCTTGGAAGCTCCGTTTTCTGTTCCTCTAAGGATGTGGGTTGGGAATGCATGGGGCTTGGGAGGGAAGGGCGAGGTGACAGGAGTGAAGGAAGCCCTCCCAGGACTCCCCAGAGACCTAAGGCCTAATTTACAGAATTACCGGGGAGGTGATAATATTGACGATCGTGATGAGGATATTTAACGCTTTCAGAACTTAAGGCAAACAATTTTACGTACCCGCCTGGTTTCAGTCTTTACAACACGTTTTTACTATTTTTTTCTTTCATATGGTGAAGATAAAGCCTGGAAAAATTAAATTTCTCAGTATCATATCCCTAGTAAATGCTGGGAGAAGGATTCAAGCCTAGTGTGTCTGATTCAAGAATCCGTGCTCTCAACCACCAGATACGCTGTTTCTGGGTGGGGAGTCCTGTAGGGTTTTCTGAGGTGTCTGGCCCTGAGTCTCCTTCTCTTCCTCCCGTGTGAAAGGATAATACATGGTTGGATCATTGAGACAAACTTTTCAGGAGCATCCAGACATGCCAGGCGCTATGCAGAGCTCTGGGGATATCAAAGTGAAGGAGATTGAACCCTCATGGAGCTTACCATCTAGTACAGGGGTGGACATCCATTCTGTAAAGGGCCAGATAGCGAGCATTTTGGACCATGTGGCCTCAGTCACAACTACTCAAAGCACTTTCTGCCATCAAAGTGTGAAAACAGCCACAGAGAATACATAAACAAGCATGACTGTTCCAATAAACCTGTTTTTGAACTTTATGTAATTTTCACGTGCCACAAAATATTATTCTTTACAATTCTTTAACCATCTAAGAATGTAAAAACCATCAGCTTGCGTACTAGTGCAAAACACGTGGTGGGATGGGGCGCCTGGGTGGCTTAGTCGGTTAAGCGTCCGACTTTCGCTTAGGTCATGTACTCGCGGTTCGTGGGTTCGAGCCCGGCTTCGGGCTCTGTGCTGACTGCCAGCTCAGAGCCTGGAGCCTGTTTCAGTCTGTGACTCCCTCTCTCTCTGACCCTCCCCTGCTCACGCTCTCTCTCTCTCCTAGAAATAAATAAAACATTTAAAAAAAAAAAACACGTGGTGGGAAAACACGAAGTGGGAAAACACGAGGTGGGCAGAATTTGAGCTGCAAGCCATAGTTTGCCTCCTCCTGTCTAGTGGGACAGGCAAAAAATACAATCACTTATTAAAAAGCAGAACAGGATTTACTTTTTGGCAGGAAGGAGGGGAAGTGATAAGGAGAGACACGTGTCCTATTTCTTGAACTGGATGGTGGTTGTATGGTTACATCTTGTGGTATTTCATCAAACAGTACACTTATGATTTGTGCACTTTTCTGTGTGTTACACTTCAATAAAAAAGACAATTAAAAAACAGTAAGGCAGTGTAATAAGTAACAATGAGCTAATAAAGTAGAGTGTTGCGGGGGGCGGGGGAGGACAAGAAGGGACCTTCACCCAGCTTGGGAGAAGATGCAAAAGGGAAGCCTTCTCCAACGAAGTGTCTGACAAAGAGGGACCATGGGGAAAAAGGAAGCTGAAGCTGGCATTAGGTTTATTGGGTCAGAATTGACCAGGACCCTGTCTTTTAAATATGTATTTCTGGTCACCGTGGATTTTTGGCATTAATTTTGATCTTTTATTAAAAAATTTTAGGGGCGCCTGGGTGGCTTAGTCGGTTAAACGCCGACTTTCGCTTAGGTCATGATCTCGCGGTTCGTGGGTTCGAGCCCCGCGTCGGGCTCTGTGCTGACTGCCAGCTCAGAGCCTGGAGCCTGTTTCAGTCTGTGACTCCCTCTCTCTCTCTGACCCTCCCCTGCTCACGCTGTCTCTCTCTCTCCTAGAAATAAATAAAAAAAACATTTAAACATTTTTTAACATTTATTTAAGAGAGAGACAGAAACAGAGCACAAATGGGAGAGGCAGAGAGAGGGAGACACAGAATCCAAAGCAGGCTCCAGGCCCTGAGCTGTCAGCACAGAGCCTGGCCCGGGCCTGGAACTCATGAACCGTAAGATCATGACCCCAACGGAAGTTGGACGCCCAACCGACTGAGTCACCCAGGTGCCCCTAATTTTGATATTTTAAAATGTTGCATTAAAATGTTATTTATCTTTATATTATTTACTGAGGATTTTAGCGCCCCCTTCAATTCTGCACCCAAGGCCATGCCTTAGCAGGCTCACCTTGTCTAGTGTAGCTGGACAAGGGTGGGAGACCTGGCCCTGTCCTTAGAACAGGGGGCAAGCCGCTCCTCCCCTCTTTCTTTACCTACGTAAAGGGGAGGGGGTGAGGCGGGACTTGATCTCCAAGGTTTAACATGCTCCCTAGCCTGACCTGGACAGCATGTGGCCAGGGTCACACCTGTATAACGCCCAGGCACCGCCAAGGCTCAAGCAGAAGCCGTTTTTTTTTCCGGCTTCCGGACTTCACGGTTATTACGCAATGGGCAGGGAGGCGCCCTTGGAACTCGACTCGTGATTGGCTGGGAAGAAGCCCGGCCCAGGCAGGGAGGCTACGCTTTGAAAGGGGAGGGGCCCCTGCGCCATCAGACGGCGACGAGAGTCTCCGAGGGGGAAGAGTCTAAGTAAGCTCCTTCCTAATTGGCTCCCTCCTTCAGGCGGGATTGAAACAGCGATGGAGATTCGCTCCCCTCCAACCCTAGCCTCTAGATGATTGGAGGGAGGGTGAAGCTTGGGGAGAAATTTATTAAGTCACAACGGTTCAGAAGTCCTGGGGGCGGGTCCTCAGCTGTAGGGGGTGGATCTGAGGGCGGGCTTCTCCTTTGGGGCGGGATTCTTTCGAAGGCGGGGGTGTGGCCTCCACGCCGCGCTCTCCCAGAGCGTGGGGGGCGGGGCCTGGGGCGGGGCCTGGGAGGGGCGGGGCCGAAGCCCGCGAGCAGCGAGGATCCCCCTGCGCGGAGCGCCGGGCCGTCTCCAGGATCATGTCCGCTGGCTGGTTGCTCTTTCCAGCCATGGCTCCGCGTTGCTGGCTCTGGTGGCACTGGTCGGCGTGGCGTCGGACCCGGCCGCCTCCCTCCGGGAGCACCCCGAGTAGGAAGAGGGCACCTGTAGGGCTGGATGGCAGCGCGGGGAGGCCTGCGAGCGCCAAGTGTGGGGTCGGC